TGCTCAAAGTGCTAAAGGGGGGCCACTTAAGCTACTTCTCAGGTTTAATTGCTCTCAAGTTGCCCACTCGTTTCATCCGCATTTTGCACATCCGAATCATGCTTCTTACTGTTTAAGCAGAAATATAAGCCTTGCCCGAGAGAGTCAGAGAATAGCAGTTGGAGTAATACACAAAAAGAGGAGGGGAGAGCCCAAGAAAGATGAACAAGAAAAAAGGTAAAACAAAGAACTGTTTCCTAAAAGAGCCAATTTCCTGCCCCGAAAAAGAAAAATACAAAAAGCAATAAATTTGTGTTTAGCGACGAGTAAAAACGTACTTAGATAGATGGTAATATTGCTTTAAAAAAGTTCCACATTTATTCTTGATTTTTCAAACGGGATTCTTTAATGAGATTAAAAAGACCTTTAAAGGCGTGTTTCATAACAGCCATATGCACGCGAAAGATTGTAGCGACGAAATGAGTGCGATTATGCTGAGTGGCTGTTTCAAAGACAATAATGCCTTCTCCTCCATCTTCGATAATCGAATCTCTCATCACATTCTTCAGAGCTTTTGTAAGGATATGATCGTACTTGTTGCCAGCATATAACGCATATACACCGGAAACAAGCCTGCAATGTGCTTGGTTCACTTTTGGCCATATTTGCTCTTTAAGACTGAAAGAAGCTTTACGAAACTGACAAATGGCATCTGAATTCTCGTGGTCTTTTCGAGCAACCGCCAGCAATATTTACATATCTAATAAGCCTGGTATAATGGCAAGAGTTATCTATTCCAGGATTGAATCCCATTAAAAAGCAATCCATCCAGTAATCAGTGCAACAGTAAATTGGTACTGGCCCCTTGCGGGAAATCTAACCACTTGTTTTTGAAGAATCCCCAAGATGAAAATGCTCGTAAAAAATTCATCGTGCTTCTCTAAAAAAGTGTTCTTTCATGTTTCTTCGTTATGAGGGCAGTATTTATCCCATTGTAACATGATTGACTGTACTCTCTGATGAATGAGCCATTTTTTCCTGTTTCTCCTACAGAAATTCATGCAGCAACACTGCATATTCTTGTTCTGATCAATATGTAATGGTCATCATTACAACGGGAGTTAAAAGATCTGTTTTCGTGTGATCTGTTAAATCAGGAGCTACTGATAGCCGTGATAATGAGCGCGTACTAATGATCAGTGAGGAGAGTGCAAAAAGTAAGCTCTGACACTCAGAGGTTATCTTGTTGAACAGTACTTGCATGGAGGCAAAATATCCCATATGAAAACGTGAAGCTTACGTATTCACAACTCAAAATTTTTAAAAAATTTAAAGCAGAAAAATCCCTTTCGTCTAAAACAGGCATTGTGCCGGATGGAAACTGTCTGT